AAAGAAACAAGAAGAAATTCAGAAAACATGGCTTAATCTGGAGACTTGAAATAATCAGATAGAAGCGTGAGAATTTTCATCTTCAGTAAGTCCATTAGAGTAGACAAAATTCTTCATGGCAGTATACAATTGTTGAGCAGCTGTGGTGTTTGAAAGTTCTATACCATGATAGCCTCCTTCGTTGAATTGATATACCACCGGTACTCGATATGCTTGCAACAACTGAACTAACTGTTTTGATCTATCCACCAGTGGGTCCCCTTCATCACCTTTCACGAAGAATCTCGGCAAACGTGGGACCCGTCCAAGGTATGATCCGCCAGTCAGTGGATTACAAAATTCATGATCTTTATTGGCATAGGTAGGCAATGCCAATTGCCACAAAACATCACATACATACAAAGGAGCATAAGGATCGTCAAGGAGTCTAAGCTCTGATGGAGTGCTTTGAATTCCTCCGAAAAATGCCTGATTCAGTAGAACTCCCCGAATTCTTAATGGTTGAAGATTGAAATCCAGTGTACGAAGGGCTGTATGGTAAACTATATTGGCACCTGCGCTACTTCCCAATAAGAAAACTCTTGAAAAATCAGCGTACTGAAACCATTGATGGCGGCCAAAGTAACCTAATGCCTGAGACTGAACCCAAAAGATAGCATTCAAGGCATCATCGTAGGCTGCTGGGAGACGGTTTTCGGGGGCCAGCCGGTACTCAACCGAGACTATCACCGCCGGGAACTGTGCAGCAATATTGTTGCAGAAGTCATGAAAGATGACAGTTGATGCACTAAACAGCACCAAGTCGCCTCCGTGCAAGTAGATGATGAGTGGCAACTTGGTGTTAGCCGGGGGATTCACAGGCCGATAGAGGCGGACGAAAGCTTTGCTTAGCGGACTGATTCGTACGTCCGAGGAGAGGGCGACGGGAGCAGGCTGTGTTGGATCAACAGATGGTGTTGCATTCACCATAGGAATTTGGATTTGTCTGTTCAATGTGCCATCTGAATTGTTACTGATTCCTAGTGCTTTAAAGGCTTCTTGCCAAGTATGTTGGCAATTGGCCGTCGGCCATGATTGACACAAACACAAGAACAACAGAAGACTGTATCCTGCCATAGCAGGNCTTGCCAAGTATGTTGGCAATTGACTGTCGGCCATGATTGACACAAACACAAGAACAACAGAAGACTGTATCCTGCCATAGCAGGCCATGATTTTGGATCTTGATCCATACTATGTTGTCTGAACAAATTTTGCTTCAAACTATCTGCCTTGCCTGATGGTTTATAAAGCAGCGATTTGAGGAGTTTCAATGTAAAATATTATTGGTAAGTTGTTGAAATTTGAAAAAGCTAGCTATTGAATAATAATATAGGTCTGCATTTTTGTTTGATTTGGGATCCCATGTGCCATGATTATGAACCCAAGAATATGGATTAATTTAATCTTGATATTCATCAAAAATGGAATGTACACTTAGTACTCAGTCAAAGTAGGGTCCCCAACCTATTGTAAAATGGAAATGTATAGGTTTTTCAAATAATATTTTGGGAGCGTGAGTTCCTAGCATTTCATTTCGGGAGATTATATTGAGTATTGACACCATAATTTTTATTTGTTACACTACATTTTAATTACAATTAAACTCCTCATTTTTTGATCATTGCAGCAATTACTTCCTTAAATTTTTTTGTCGAATTCTTATCTTTAACTTGTCATTGATTAGTACGTCTTGTCCTTGATGATCATTTATGTCAGAATATTTTCTTTTCATTCTTTGAAATGGAGGAAAAATATTTTTTGCACTTTTTATTTTTTAAATATGATGGAAAATAAGTAGTTTTACGCCATTTCAACGGATTTTGGATATAAACTATTATTAAATACAAAATGTATTAACTAATGGAAAGTTTGAAGATAAGAATGTCATGCAAAGCCGTTAGGAATATAAGTGCTATAATAATCAAATATTAAAAATCTTAAGTGCAATTAAAATGTGATACAATAAATAAAAATTGTAGTTGCACAATCACCCCAACCTTCCAATGGTTAATGGATTCTTTTTTTTTTTTCTTTAATTAAAGATAAGGGTAAATTTGTTTTTTTAATAAATATTCGAGTGTTTATTCAATAATAAGGTTAGAATTGTCTACTAAGGACTTGTGTACTAAAAATCATGTTGAGGATTATAACTTCAAAATAAGGGAACTACTTGCTACATTTCGAATATTAGGGCCCAAACTGTAATTTTCACATTAAATTATCCTGCTTAGGAACGCGGTTAAAGGTGTATTATTTTAAAATTAAATATTTATTTTTTTATTTCAAATTTGTCAGATGTTCAAATAAAAGGGGGTGCTATAGATATTCACGGACCCCTCTATTGTGAGAGAATTGTACACCGAGGTGTTATAGCATTTTTCAATTCAAATAAAACAAATTATCTTCGAATGCTTAAGATAGATTCCAAAATTAAAAAAAAAAGTAATAAATTTATATAACAACTCAGAGTTTATCCTTATTCGCTAGGCAAATTGCAATTGATTTTTAAATGGTTTTTCAGATTAGAACATCATTGACAGTTATAAGCTTTAATTAGCATATGATTCAATTTCTTATTAAAAAAAGATATTGTTATTAAAAGTAAATTTCTTATATAAACGTTTTAATTATTTCTTACGATTACATCCATGGATAATAAATGCAGATTTTATTTTTTATTTTTTTATCAAGAAACAATTGATAATCAAATTACATTGCTATTATATTCCTCGTGTGTTCAGCTTCAAGTCCGAATTATATGTCACTTTCATATAAAGCTTAGTTCATTTTTACATCAATGGCCAAAACATGGTAAAATAATTTGTACCATTTTCGTTCTGGGAGTCTCAATGAGACATGTTTCCTTAGTCATAGTATTCCATTTAGGCGGTTATTGTACTAATATTACATTTATTTCCTATATGTATGTATATATATATATATAGTGGATGGTGCAATGTTATCTTTTGTCGGTACACTAGTTAGCTCTCATTAACTCAGTTATATGAGTTTGTCCCTTCACTCAATTGAAATTCTTGTCAAACTTAAAAGTTCCCTGCTAATGAAATTCACTTGGAAATTTATAAGTAAATATTTATTTTCTTTTTCTTTACGTTAATAGCTTGGAGTGCCCAAGGTTGAAATATTTATTTTTGTCCGTTGATCGGCCATTCGGGAGAACTACATTTGCTTGTTAAATGGTCTCGATGGATTATTAGGAAGCATACGAAAGAGATTTTGTCATGATTACTAGTTGGGTGAAATCACTATTGAAATAGTTAAAGATTTGCAATTCGAAAGCTTTATTTTGATTTCATTACAATGGCAAGAGGCATCTTTCTATGATATTTAAAGTTTATGTTGATCTCAAAATTTGAAGAAAACACGTGATCAACAAATTCCAACTCATCTTCCATCCACGTGTATTTAAGCTTTGATGGAGTACGATAGTTATGAGCACTGCGACACTCAAATCAAACGGTAAAGAAAATATTTGAGTTTAAGAGAGACAATGAACGAGATTATGAATATCGAGTGGGAGATAGAATATTACCGAAAGCAATATTATGTCAAGATTTGCATTCAAAGTATCATTATCTTTGAGAGACTAAGTGTAAAAAACTCCTTTTCGCAAAAAGAATATCTTATCCGTTTGAAGAAAAGTCTCATATACAATATTTTCCCAATTTTTTGTCAAGAGAAAAATTTTATATCTAAGAAGTTAATTATGACACATTTCAAAACTAAGAAATAATATTTAAAACTTCAAAAATCACACTTAAATTTAATTTACAAAATAATTAATTAAACATAGAGTTGGACATGATCCGGTTCAGTTCGGTTCTAAACAGAATCGAACCAAACCCGAATTTTCGGATATTTAATAAGTGGAACTATCAAGTCCAAATTTAATTATGGAACCATTCGGGTCGATTGCATTCAATTCCTGATTTCCGTACAATAATTAATTTTTTTCATATTTACAACAACATTACATTAATTCAACTAATTAATGACATGTTCAATTTTATCTTTTACAAAATAATGTAGTCCAATCCTATGATATCTTTTGCACCTGTCTTTTTTCATAAATTTGACTGTTAAAATCACAGGAAGATAAAGATATCGAGCTTACAATAATAAAGAGAAGCACAATAATAAGAGATTGAATTGGAATTCGATAGAGTTAATTACAAGATTTAGGATTTTTAAGTCAATGTTCGTATTTAATCTAATTGTAGAAACTTATTATAAGTAATTATAGTATTTA